CAAAAAGTAAGAGATATTGGTATTTGGCACTTTGTGTCTTTGCCACATAAAATAAATATTATTTTATTATTTTATTTTAATAAATTAAATAGGCCAGCCTACAAGGCTGTAGGCCGGACTTGACAAAATTGGCCTATGGCCTATTTATTAAAAAAGCTATTTTATAAGCCTAAGCCTACTCTACTTTTCGGAAAGGCTGAGCCTGGGCTGAGCTCAATGTAGGCCGGGTCGTAGGCTGGGCTGGGCCAGCCTGGCCCATTTACACCCCTAGCTAATGACGATGCTTTCTATTTGTTACTAAGTAGTGCCGTTGGAATATAAATGGCTTTCCAAATCGTTGTCTCACACACAATATAATATAAAATAAAGAGGGTATTGATTGACTATTACGGATTTTTTTATTGTGCTTTAAGAGCACAATATTATTTGATGGTTCTTTATCAAAAAGAAATTTTTTTCTTTTATTTATATTTTTTTTTGCATTTAAATCTCCTCCCAATTCTTTTTTTCATCTATTTTTGAAAAAGGAGCACGAGATCCCGACTTATAATAAAGGAAAAATATTTTCTCATGTTGCATGAGAATTCAATTCTCATGTTGTGACCCTTCGATTTGCGTGCAAAACTTTTCTTTTCTTAATAAATGTGGAACCCACCACTAGTTGAATTACAACATGAGAATTCAATTCTCATGCAACATAAGAAAATCAAATCTCATATAATAAATGAGCTCGACTATTACAGGCTCCACTTATTGACATATGTAACCAAGTATTCGATATTTTTTTTTATCAAATATGAAAAAATAACACCTTTATATTATTATTTTTTTATGATTATTTTTTTATATATATATTTTTATTTCAGAAAAGGAAATATCTATCCCTGAATAAAAAAAAAAAATGCTCCCACTTACTTGGTGACATAGACCTGTCTCTTCCCAATGTGATGTCTCCTGTGAGAATGGCCTGGCTTTTTCACAGATTTGACATATGTTTCACCTAGTGGTCCTGAAGTGTTTCGTGTCACGATAGAGCTGGGTTTCGGGGTCAGGACCACTACCCAAACCAGTAACCCAAAGATAGAATAATTGAGAAGACCTTCTATACATGTGTCATATTGTGACAGATAAAAAGGGGTGTGGTGGGGGACAAAACAATGGAGAAGAAAACCAACCTTAGTAGTGTCTCACATAGTAGTTCCTTACACATAATAGGAGTCTCACACAATTAAAAATATTTAAGGCAGGTCATTAAATGACAAAAAGAGAGAGAAAAATTAATAATAATTACGATAATTATATTAATTTTATTTTAAAAATTGTGTTAGAGTATCTATTAAAGAATAAAAATACAAATTGTGTTACATTACTAATAAATTACACATACTTGACATATATGGTACTGTCGTATGCGATACATCCTGAATTTAAGGGAATCTGCTCATGTGTAATCATATATGTTATTCTCATATAAAACTCCATTATATAAGTTGAGGCTTCATCCAAGGATTTGACATTTTTTATTATTAATAGTTGAATTCCGTATTTTAATTTGTCCAACATTAATCCAACTATGAGTAATAATGAGCACCAACTATTAGTAATAATTTCATCGTATCTTTTAATTTTTTATGAACTTAACTTTCATCATTCGTCATAATTACCAATTACAGTTATTTGGACAAGGGTTATTGGATACATCATTCATACATATATTTTCATCATAATCATTTGATCACTATATTTGAAAATAATCATTTGATTTCAATGACACAATATTTGCGAAGTATATGCATGTGTGCAAAGTCATTCAAAGGGCACATGCAATTAATATATAGAGTCAATTTTAAATAAAGGCGTCAAATTTTTGAATTAATATTAACGATTGAAAAATCATCAATAAGATAGCCAATTACTACGCGCTCTGAAAACTAAATACCTCAAAGGAATGTTTGCACACAATTTGAAATGAATTTAACACATTTTAATTCGTACGAACTTTATCTTTTATATAGGCAGGAGACCTGTATTCAGATCAAAGTGAGGAATTGATTGCAGTCTTCATGACACTAATATTGAAAACGACCATTCAAAGTATATAAGTTGAAAATCATGCACATGCAAAATTATTCGAAAGGTAATAGAGATTAGATATATAGAATAAGCTTTAAACAAATTAGTACGTCAATTTTTAAGCAAAGAAGGATTGAAAGAGACTGCCAAGAAAAGGACACTAAGTATGTATACGAAACAAATGCCTCTAATAAATCCAATCACTATAATTGAAATAGACCATTTGATTTCAATGACACAATTAAGTTACAAGGATAAACGCGTGTGTGCAAAGTCATTCAAAGGGTACAACCAATTTAATATGTAGAATCAATTCTAGACAAAGACATCAGATTTTAAGACTAGTAGAGAGTAATAGAAAATCCATGTAGCAGATAATTCCTTATAGAGACACAAATTTTTATACTCTAAAAAACTAAATACCTCAAATGAATGTGTACACAATTTTCAATTAATTCAATACACAATTAAAAACTATTTATTTATTTTTAAGATAGGAGACCTTCATTGAGATAAAAAAAGAATTGAGAAAATGAAGGATATTTATATTCTAACCCTATTAAAATATAATCATAGACTTACTGAACGTAACCCTATATTGAAGTGAATAAGAATAAATCATATTTCCTATTTTTCTTTTTTTAATTTTGTGTGTGTGTGTGTGTTGGGGTGTGTGTGTGTGTTGGGGGGGGGGGGGGGGGGGGGGGGGGGGGGTGGGGGGAAGGGAGGGATTACTTACAGCTATGGGTTTGAACTTTCATTTTTGAACACCAAAATCCTCTGATGACCGGGGAGGTGCCATCAAGCTACAATTTCATTTATAAATTTTGCCTAATTCATAGACAAGCACCTAACGTATCATTAGTTAACCAAATAATACAATGTACAAACTAAGGGGGCGTTTGTTTTTGGTTCCCCGGAAAAGCATACATAGATAAATACTAAATCCAAGTTTGGTAAAGCAAAAAAAAAATTAAAATTCCAGACACCAAACGTTTTCGGAAAAATCATGTTATGTGCAATTTGTTATACGGTATCCAAAACTGAAATTCCATAAATTGGATGGAATGTTTTGTTGTCCAGGAAACTGGAAATTGTGGTGTGAATTTAGGTGGTGTTTGGTTGGGAGCTTTTTAGTGGATATCTATGTTTCTCAAGTATGGCTTTTAGAAACACCATGTTTGTTTCAACGTATTTTCACCAAAAATTCATCTATCCAATTTGTATGGATTTATGAGAAATATAGATATCCGCACTGTTTAGAAACTCAATTTGAAGGTGGAATTTTTCGGAAAACCGGTTATCTGGCTTTTAATGCACTGTTGATTTCATAAAGTTACCTAATTTTCCCAGTAAAGTTTTTCCCCACCAAACAATTTTTTTTTACATTTTTCTACCTATCTCACTTTATCTATCTTTCCAATCATTTCTCTATCTATTACATTTTCCTACTATTCCAAAAAAATTTCCTCAACTAAATGCCTTATAGACAAAATTAACCTTTATGAAAACAGTAAACAAATTGGTACAATTTAAAGTGGGGTTATTTTCGTAAAATAACCTCACATTCCCACTAATATTTCACAACCAACCAAACACACACTCACTCAGTAGGTGGTGTTTGGTTGGAAGATTTTTGTAGGATGCATGGGGAAGTGAGGGTGGACATTCAATAATACCATGTTTGGTAGCACTTAAAAAAAAAAATGCTGGGAAAATTGTATTGATGGGGAAATTTTTTGTGTGTAATCTTAAACCAAATTTTCAAAGAAAAATTCCACCCAGCGGGTGATATTGTGATTTTGCAGGATAAATGAAAAAATTGATGCTAAAATTGTGTCAATATTCCCGGTAAAATTTTGACCTACCAAACAATTTTTTTTAACTTTCCTATCAAACTCATTTTTCTACCACTTCTCTAATAATTATATTTTCTTAGTATTCAAAAATTTCTCCCCAACCAAATGCCCCATAAAGTAAATCATAAATTCCCGAGAAAATTTTAGCATACCAAACATCTTTTACTAACATTCCAGACCAAATATATTTCACGTTACATTTCAGTAATAATTATTTCTCCAATTTAAAAAAAAAATTCTTCTACCAAAAGTCCAATAAGAAAGATAAACAAGAGGTAAACAGGAATGATATATCTACATCAAATACGTGTCGGAATCTCTTTCGCTTTAAAGTTGAAAGGAATATGCTACCTACAGTGTGCAGTGGAGTAATACTATATCCGAATTAAAAGTTATTAAATTTATATATTACAAGCTACTGCTTCCCCCCTCAACGCAACATCACATACTTTTAATTTAATAAATAAACAAGAAAAATATTATATTTATTAATTTTTTGTTTACAAACTCTTACAACCTACACTAAATATATGATCGGTCATATGAACAATCATACTTAAACGGATCCTTCTCTAATAAACAAATATTTATCCCTTTTGATATAATGTGACAAGTCGGTCGTCCATTTACATAGGTTTGTGTTTGTCCAATCATCAAAGCATATGCATAAGTCATCGGCTCCTCATGTTTTCGTCCTCATTCAAAGCTTCTTGTCTACTTTCCAATCGAATGGTTAGCCGATTTCACTTATAGAATCTTTAACCTTTGTGGAGCCTACTCCCGCTCAGTATGAGTTTTATAAGAGTTATGTTGTAGGAAAAGTGATTGTGTAATATTATAGAAATTTATTTTGCGTGTCTTAGTTTTTTTTGTTTTTGCTTCAAAAAGTGCGGACTCTACAAAATATTGTGTGTGTAAGAAACTTTTTTGTGTCATGTGACATGATAGATGCAAATCCTTAATTCTATATATATGTATCTATAAACTTAGCAATATGGTGAAAATAATCAGGCTTTGCTCTCTGATAAAATAATATACATTTCATATGTTGCAAGAAAACTTAGTTCATTAGCGATTTGAGTCTCAAAGAAAGAGCAGCTAGCAGAGAGGAAGGAAGAGATCGATGGAGGAGGTTGAGGTCTTTCTGCTGGCAATGAAAGTGGCTTCTTCACTTGCTCTTGCGGGCATTTTCAGCTGGATACTTTATCTGTATGGTAATCTGTGGCATAAGTCCCAAAGGGTCAGAAGGAAGCTCCAAATGCAAGGTATCAGAGGGCCTCCACCTTCTTTTCTACATGGGAATCTACCTGATATGCAGAGAATCCAATCTCAGGCTACCATAGCCAAAGCTCCTAGCTGCAACCATTCTGATCAGTTTCTAGCACATGACTACACCGACACCCTCTTCCCATATTTTGAACACTGGAGGAAACAATACGGTACCTTTCTCTTCTTTTTCATTCTTCTTCTGCTTCTAGTTTCATAGTTAAAATTTAGGAAAAATATTTTCTTATATTATTGAAAATAACATTTCTTATGTCACTCATATATCTATCTATATGCTTCATTTTTATTTTTATTTTAACGATGGAACTCACCTTAAATATGTGTGTAGAAAAATTTATCCTCTCCTATAAAAAAGAAAAACAAAACCCTTAAACTTAACTCATTGTTATTTTGCAATAGTACATATATAGAAGATAGAAGAAGATAATTACTTCATTTAGTTTGCGCAAGCAACGTAATTTCCTTTTGCATAAATATACATGTAGTAGATTGTACAAAAGGTAAATTCTTGGCCTCATCAATCTTAACGAATTTTTTTTGTATTACTGATAAAGTAATTTATGTAAACAACTCTGGTATAATTTAAATGTTGACTCAGGCGGTTGGACAATTACAAATCTAGTTAAAATCTCTGTTTTTTTATAGATATTTTTTATATTTATGTTCTTATTTCGATATATATATATATATATATATATATATATATATATATATATGAGTTTTCATTTTATCCTTTAACATAACACAAGAAACTTTCCTACACTCACAATATTTTGTGGGGCCCACACTTTTTAAAACAAAAAAATAAATAAAAAATTAAATCACGCAAAACGAATCTCTATAACATTACACAATCATTTTTCCTACAACATAACTCTTATAAAAAAAAAAATATATATATATATATATATATATATATATATATATATATATATATATATATTCTAAAGTGTAGTGTAGAAAACTGGGGGCGTACTAAATGGTTTCTCATTTTTGCAATCATGAATTTAAAGATAGCTAATTATCTTTAGCCGAAAGCGTACCTAAGTGCACATATGCCTATCTGCCAATGTTTTGAAGCACTATTTTTGAGAAGACTTACTTTTTTTTTTTAACGGTGAATATTTATCTGGTGCTAAATTTGGCTTCCGAATTGGATAAGTTTTAGACATGACAATAAAGTGCGTTTATGATGGGAATTATAATTTTCAAGATAATGTTTGGAAAAATAAATTTTTCGAGAATATTACTAAAAAATTATTTAATAGATCAAAATATTACCAAAAATATTATCAAAAAATTGTGTAAAATTTTCTCATGTCACAGGAATTTAAGAATACCACCATCTTGGTGATGTTTTTAGATATCATTTTGGTTCAAAAAACTTCAAATTTTTTTTTCTTAATTAGGAATTTAATTTTCTCAATTTTTTTTAATATTCCTTATACCAAACATAAGTTTTATAGACACTTTACTAAAGAGGAAAAGCAGAGGTTTCTAAAGCAAACATGCCTAGGATATTGGCACTTTAAAAGCTAATAATTGATGGACAGAACAAAGGATGGATATATTCTTCGAAATATTTTGTGTAAGTAATTAAACATCATACTTTAACATTTTCAAATATTCTAAATTCGACACAATCTTTTAATGTGCGATAATAATTTTTCAATCGTAATTGATGATCATATATGATTTCAAAGATTATAAAAGTTAATTTTTATCCTTCAGTATTTGTATTATTGTCTTGCTTGCATCTGCTGCTTACTTTTAAAAGAAACCGGAGGTATGTCTTCACTTGTTTCTAGTTGAGAATCTATATTTTGTTATTTAAATCTGATTAAAATTTTTGTTGTTCAGATATATGATTTAATGTTTATTAGGTAAGGGCTCATGCGAGGAGAAAAAAAGAAAAAAAAAACATGAATCACACGTACTTTTATATGTGTAGATGATAAATGATTAAACCTATACTATTTTGTGCAAAATCATTTTGGATAAGTTGTACCAAAAAAAAAAGATCAAACAAATCAACATAGATAAGAAGCTTGACCAACGTGGAAATTGGAAACATGTCCCATGAATAAATTATCTTCTATTGAACTTACAGGAACAGTGATCATTGTGCCACTGTTTTCACACAAATTTACTTAAATGCCATGCTCTTGAACTAATTTTTTAAACTGCCACGCAGGCAAGGTCGCTTGCAGCAGTAGCGAACTATGCATGATGATGTGTCAGGAAACTGGTGGTGTCAGAGTTTGTTTCTGACACATGCGACCTCTGTTTTTAACTAAGGTCGCCTACATGGTAGGCGACCTTTATTTATTTTATTTTATTTTTAAAAAAATTTGATACTTGTTATCCACTAGAAATGTGACACGTCAGCAAATCGAGTTCGTCTGTGTCAGAAGCGAACTTGTCCCATGTCAAATTGAGAAATAACACTGTTCGCATAGCATTTAAGTAAAAAAGTTGGTAAACAGTGACATTTTCATCAGTTATACGAACTTAGACTTGTTTGCTGCAGAATTCTTATTATCTAAATTACCCAGAATATAGGCATTATCTAGTAGTCCAGGAATCAGGTACCCTCTTGATTCATATGTACAACGAAATGATAATTTTACATATCAGCTAGTACGAGGCACAGTGACAAATACATGTGGAATTGTCACCTTTACAGCTGTTTTGTTTCAATTTGGATACTCATGGTGTTATTGACAACATTTGCATTGAAGTAGCCTATAGTAGGGATTTTTTTATTGTGCTCCGCGAGAACAATTTTATTTGGAAGAGTGATCATTTTATCATGTTTGAACAAAAAAAATTATCAGATTGCTATGTTAATAGTAAATTTTGCTAAACTGTCATGCGGCATAATTCATTACACAGTATAGCGAAATATGTCACGTCAGAACCAAAAAGTGCCATGTGTCAAAATTGTTGAAATTCGCTATCCTATGTAGCGAATTTCAACAATTCTGACACATGACACTTTTTGGTTCTGTACATTCTGATGTGGCATAATTCGCTACACTGTGTAGCGAATTATGCCACATGGAAGTTTAGAAAATTTTACTATTCGTGTGGCATTCTGATAATTTTTTTTGCCAAAAGCGCAGCATTTTTGTCACTGTCCCATCTTATTTGATGTTCTTTTATCAAAAAGGAAATTTTTGTTCCGTTTATATCCCTTTCTTTCATTTAAATATCTTCAGAATTCTTTTTCTCTTCTATTTTTGGAAAAGGACCGTGAGGTCCCGCTCATAATAAATGAGCTCCTGTAGTAGTTATATAATATGTGAATGGAACACAGCTAGGCATGGTTGGAGCATTGTCAACAAGTCTCTGTCTCTTTCTCTATCTATATATATATATATATTCATTATATGATCAAATTTTTTACAAAATGGTGTGCACTGTGCACTATGCATCTAAAAAATTAAATAACAGAGAATATATTTCGTGCAATAATATCTCGACTTGCAGGTCTAGTGTACACTTACTCCACGGGGATGAAGCAACACCTCTATGTGAACCAACCGGATCTAGTGAGAGAAATGAACCAGTGTATCACTTTAGGTTTGGGTAAGCCTTCTTATGTAACAAACAGACTTGCACCCCTGCTTGGCAATGGCATTCTTAGAGCCAATGGGCATAGTTGGTCACATCAGAGGAAACTTGTTGCACCTGAGTTCTTCATGGGCAAAGTTAAGGTATATAAATATGTAGCTATTTGTCGTCAATATCTCACACCCTTGTCTATTTACTTCTTTTATTTTTCGTTATGATTTATAATTTGAATTGGTTAGTGCTTTCGTAAAGAATCAATTTAACCTAAATCTTCAAGGTACTGGGGTGAAAGTCTTTTTAATGATTTATATTATTTTCTAACACATCGTCTCATGAAAGAGTTATCTGGGTTTGAAACGTAGATATTACATAGGTTTAATTTTTTTTTAGTTTTACCTTATACTTATTTAATTCCACAAGTGGGAAGACGGTGAAAATCGAACTCGTGACCTTTATGATCGCTTAAAATCTGATACCATATAAAGAAACTTTTCTTTAAAATTTTGAGTTAAATTGATTCTTTTTAACAGTTTTGAAAATGTTATTTGCAAATCAAAATTTTGATGCAATCCTTATATTATTTGCACAATCATATTTTTGGTAGCAACTTTCATTTATATACAAGCAGCTAGACCCACATAAGTTACCACTCGCATGATTCTGATTTCTGAGTGATGTGTGAGCTAGAAGCAAGTACCCATGCTCTATACCTATCTATATAGGTTGTAGAAGATTAAATTAATTTTGAATTCAATTATTTGGGAGGAAATGCAAATGAGTTAATAAATGGAAAGGGATGTATCTAGACCAATTAATTTGCATTCAGGAAAGTACCCCACCTGCACTGCCAGAGTTTATGTTAACTTTTCTGGCCATATAATAAATCAACCGAACAATCTAGGCTCTGGATACATGTATATAAAATGGCCTTTGGTGACATGAAAGGAAATATGGTAGGGACGGTGAGTCTGAAGTGAAATTAATGGCAGGGTATGGTGGGCCTAATGATAGAGTCATCGCAGCCATTACTACTAAAATGGGAGCAATTTATTGCGTGCCAAGGAGGTGCCACAGCAGAAGTTAAAGTTGATGCTGATTTGAGGGGCTTCTCAGCTGATGTTATTTCAAGGGTTTGTTTTGGTCATTCTTATTCCAAAGGAAAGGAAGTTTTCTCAAAGCTTAGAAGCATCCAGAAGGCCATGTCCAAACAAGGTTTCCTTTTTGGGGTCAGCGGTTTCCGGTAAGTCAATTTCATATTACTCTAAAAATCTACTCTCATACAGCTCGTACGTTCATAAATGTACATTACACAATTGTATGTATACATGGCTGAAAAAAAAAAAATTTAATTTATTACATTTTAAATAAAAAATTATGAATTTATTGTTGTTTTGAAAATAATTACGCATGTATTACACAATATCATGTCTAAATGAGATGTAACTTGTGATGCTCAATCTGGACGTGTCCTAATCGCGAAGCAAACGATTGAATGGTTATGCTTAAAACTACATTTTGTATGATATTATTTTTTATTTCGAGTGCGCAATCTATTAATTTGGTTTTGTAAGATAAAGTGAAGATAACGTTTTGTGTGATGCCATTATTATATTTAGTTGGCTATATTTTTGTATGATATGTTGTTATCGTTATCAATCACCAAAACATACACTCAACAAATACACATTACATAAGATAAATGAGAGTATATAAAATAAATATAGTCCATAATCCATAAAATATATACAGTCTATGACAAAAAAAAATAAAAATACAATGCATGCACAACACAAAATCCGTGCGACAAATACAGTCCATAAAAAAAATACAAAAATACTACGACCATGGTGGCGACGACCGATAACGTGCATCGCGATCAGGCAGTATACGTCTGTCCCAAGCATCGTCAACACCCTGTGTCGCAGGAGGTGGCGCTGGCGAGGGAGTCTGATAATCATCCATCGCTGCATGCATGAAATCATTTGTTGTTGTACGTGGCTGCATGGATGATGAGGTTCCAACGTCATATAAAGGTGCATGTCCCGATGTACCGGGCTGCATGTGGGGTGATGTCGCAGTGTGGGTCTGAAGTGGAGTGCCATCAGTCTCCTGACTATCAAGGCTATCTGGGCCAAGGCCCAGCTCCGTGCATAGTGCATGTACATGCTCCTGAGTCCACTGCGACATGTCTGGACTAAGACCCTTACCCTGCATGTACGACATGTCCCCCCTGCCATGGCCATCGGACTAGCCTGGAACACTGGCTCATATGAATCCATATACGGATGCTGAGACTCTGGCTGGCTAGGTCCACCTGGCTGCTGAGATGGCTCATGATACATGGGTTGTGATCCATACGTATGATCAATCACCGGAGGTCTGAACCATCCGTGAGTCTCAGTGCGTGGTCTGGGTCCAACAATGGGAACTGGGACGAGTGGTACCCATTACTGACGACGACCTAACCCGCGTCCCTCCTGTCTAGTATGCAGAACATCTAGAGACAACTGTGGCTTAGGCTGTGTCTGGGTCGGGGGTGCCTGTGGTCCAGGCTCATCGACACGAGAGGACTCCCTGTATCTTACCGCACCGGGTCTTCAGCTGACGTACATGCTCTGTATTCCACACCCGCTGTGAAATATGTGCACTCTGCGTCCTCTTCCGAAGGACCTCCCACCTATATGGCCCATGTATGATATACATACTGGGATCGGTAGGCTCTGGCTCGTGATCGGATGTAGAACTCCCAGATGATGATGAATCAGCCATAATAAAAAACTATATGAAATATTAAATTTATTGTAACCGTTAATTTATAATCAAATTATACATACAAGTGTAATACAACATTAAAAATAATTTAAAAAACAACTACTTACAAGATGTATCAGTAATATATATTTAAAAATTAATTAGACACCCCTACCAAGTGAATCGTCAAAATGAAATTATATTATAATCGTAATTTCAGTTACTTCTAATATGTCACTATTCATTAGCTAAGTCATATCAATTTTATTAAGCATATTCCTAAGTCACTAATTAATTTGTAAGTAAATAATATTATCATAGTTAGGTCACTAATTAATTTGTAAGTAATTAATTCGTAAAAATTATTTAAGCATATTCCTATCAATTTTATAATCAAGTTTATTAAGCATACACAAAATTCTAGCAAACTACCAAATTCCTAAGTCATTAATTAATTCATAAGTAAATAATATTAATACGTAGGTCACTACAACATTCCTAAGTCACTTAATATTTCTTGGTCACTAATAGTTTCCTAAGTCACTAACAAATTTGTAATTCACTAACAGTTTCCTATCTATCATTGTAATTTAACCTTATACATAGCAGATATTAAAAACTTATTCTTTTGGCAGAGCTTCGCTAACCAATCTTTCACGAAAGGTAGAGAGCACCGGCGTATTAGAGAGAAGTTAGAAAGAGAATAAAATGGTAAAAATGGAAAATTTGAGATATTTATAGGTTGCATGGGTCACGCTTGGTTTGGGCGTGACATTATGCAATAAATTCGTAATTATTTTTAAAACAACAATAAATTCATAATTTTTTTGTTTAAAATGCAATAAATTAATTAATTTTTTTTTTTTGCCATATATGGCTCTATTGTGTTCAAGCATGAAACTTATATTAAATGGAGCCACATACAAAAGCAGTTTCGGTAAAGAGCACTATTTCCAAAGCTACACATATAAAGTCACTATTAAATTTAGTGTTCAGAGCATTAGTATTTTATATATAGATCCTAAATTTGAATTTCTGTATAGTACAAAACTTCAACAAGAAGTTTTTACATACTCTCAAAAGATAATATAAGGTGTGATACAAAAATGAAATTCCTGGTTAGCTTTATTATAAAATCTATAACCTTGTGTGTTAATTCTTAAAATTCATAAAAATTTATGTCCTAAAGCCATCCATATACAAGCAAATTAAACAGAAATTAAAAAACCGTGTGTTTAATTGTAGCATAAAACTGATTCATAATTAATGCCAGTGACAAACTGAATTTCTCCACAAAGAAGCAAAACGGGATTGCCAATTTGGAAAGAGAGATAGAGTCACTGATCTGGGAATTAGTGGAGGAACGCAAGCGAGAATGCTTAGAGACATCATCATCAGAAAAGGATCTGATGCAGTTACTGTTGGAAGCAGCCAATACCAATAGTGATCAAAATCTGGGGAAGGACTTTTCCAAGCGTTTCATTGTGGATAATTGCAAAAACATATACTTTGCTGGCCATGAAACTACTGCTGTTGCAGCCTCTTGGTGTTTGATGCTTCTTGCTTTACACCCAGAATGGCAATCTCGTATAAGGACAGAGGTCGCTGAACTTTGCCCCAGTGGCATTCCAGATGCAGATTCTCTCCCTCTGTTGAAAACGGTACGTGCACTTTGATTTTAAGAAAGCATGTATATATATCTTCCTTGTTTTCATTTAGAAATATAATAAAATCGTTCATATGTTTTCATCCAATAACTTAAATTTTTTTTTAGAAAATTGGTTAATGACACGAGTGCTATGAATACGTGGTCTAAAGTTTGATCCTTACTCCGCCTCTTAATTGATAAGCAATCTAAAGTTTGATCCTTACTCCGCCTCTTAATTGATAAGCAATCGTTTCACCCAACAGTTCAAACTTATAAATGTCGAATCTTTAATGATTTTATATTATATCTCTTTATCATATTCCACACCTTTTGGCAATTTATAAACTTTTTTTACACTGATAGATATTAGTGCTTACAGGTAACTATGGTGATTCAAGAAGTGCTACGTTTATATCCACCAGCAGCCTTTGTGTCAAGGGAGGCATATGAAGATATCCAAATTGGAGACTTAAATGTTCCTAAAGGCGTTTGTTTATGGACACTGATCCCAACATTGCACAGAGATCCTGAAATTTGGGGAACAGAAGCGAATGAGTTTAAACCAGAAAGGTTCAGTGAGGGTGTCTCTAAGGCTTGCAAGTATCCTCAGGCATATGTGCCATTTGGATTGGGTACTCGCTTGTGCTTGGGGAAAAACTTTGCCATGGTTCAATTGAAGGTTGTGCTAGCCCTTATCATCTCAAAGTTCAGCTTCTCTCTATCTCCTAGCTATAGCCATTCTCCCGCATATAGAATGATTGTAGAACCAGGACATGGAGTATATATTCTCATTCAGAAAATTTGACCCGACCTGATCGATGACCCAAATTCATCAAGCTTTTGGTTTTTCTTTGACATGTAATATTTATGTGTGTTTAATTAGATATAAAACTATGGCTTTTATAAGAGTTATGTTGTAGGAAAAATGACTGTGTTATGTTATAGAGATTCGTTTTGCGTGCCGAAGTTTTTTTTTTGCTGCGAGTTCCACAAAATGTTATGTGTGTAGGAAATTTTTTGTAGTCATGTTAAATGATAGATGATAAACCCTAAAACTATTGCTTAGATTTTAGAAGAGTTTCTCCCTTGACTTTAATTCTTATCTTTTAAATGTATACGTGTGTTCAGATATAGCTAGTAGCCTAGTATGACTGTTTGATCTCTCTCTCTCTTATACACACACGATGCTGCAATGATGTATCTATTTATCGATCAAGAATGTTGAATAAATACCTTCAGAGCTCGTGAGCTCAACATTATTGGTAAATAAACTTATGTCGAAGATAGTTATATACATCAACAGATGAGACACAATGAAGGTGACACATGTTTATGTAAAAAAAAAAAAAAAAATCAGAGATAAAAAAGGTCAGTGTATATATAGACCTGCCAAAGAGCATTATGTTCATAATTTTTCTATATATATCTATATCTGTATTTGCATGAGTAAACTTGACTTAAGACATTAATGACATTGTCAATTATATATTGATTATTAAAAATCTTCTTTGAAAAATATTATATATTGTTAAATGATTATTAATATCAAATACAGATTTTTTGATTAAAACATATAAAATTCTTCAACAGCACACATTAATTTTAATTAATCACCAAAATTTCAATTTATTATTATTTATGGTCGGAGTGTATTCACAATTTCATTTTTATCCAAACTGGTAAGTTGCACGCAAATGGTGGCAATGGGAGTAGCGGCACACACACAGATACAGTTAGAGAAACACGTGTTAGAGGGTTTCGTTTCGAAATCCATGGAATTGAAATGGGTGAGGAGAAGAATCAGCAAAAGCTCACACCTTGAGAAGGGTAATAAGAAGCTGCTAAGACCCATGTTTCCGATTCACATTTCCACCAACCCACGCCACGTGGATCCTCACCATCTCCGAGACCTCTACGCCAATTGCAATCACTCTTGCCATAGATTCCCCAACCATGTCCGACCCGAACCCGAACCCGTGGATATCCACAAGCTCCGCGTTGCTCTGTCTCACAGTGCTGTTCTCGTCTCTGTCTTCTGCAAACCTCACCATGTTGTTCCTCATGATGATGCTTTCGCCAATTCCTTGTCTATGGTCGATTTCTTCACGCCGGTTACTCCTTCCCACGATCAATTGGTGGGGTTTGGTCGTGCCGTTTCCGATTGTGGTCTCACTGCTTCAATTCACGATGTGATGGTAACACTTGCCAATATTCAAAAAAATAAAAATATAAAAAAAAGAGATTTTTCATGTTATGGAAATAGCCCACGTGCTGAATTTGACATCTTGGTTTCTGGGGCATGCTTATATTGATTAGTTTGTCGCTGGATTTTCTTAGTTTTTTGGAATTCGTTATTGGGTTATTGGTTGTATCACTCCAGTGATGAAGTCAAATTAACTAACTTTCGGAGCAAACTGTATTTTGCGTTTTTCCATGTTTATTTTGTGAAATGCCAGTTATTCTTTCGGCTACTCAACCACTTAGTTAACATGCATGTATCAACGTGCTTTAGTGTTTCGCAGGTTATTCCATCCCTGCGGAGAATGGGAATTGGTCAGATAATAGTTAAAAAAATTGTGAGGTATGCAACATCTCTCTCCTTTGATGATTCAGTGTTAATCTGAATGGTTCCTGACTTTGATAGGCATTTTCAATAGGTAGCTGAGCAGACCAAACCACTTTTTGATGAGATTCAAGTCTTAATCACGAAGCTTTTGTCATGTTCTCATTGTTGCCATAGAATTTTGTTTTGATATCGGCGGGTGTGCCTTTATGTTTGTAGCATTGTTACTTGTTTTTGAATATGCACTATATACTGTAAAAAATGAAAATGAGATCATTCTCCCTTTCTTCCCTTTTTCTTGGCCATAAACCTTGTATGTAGATGTTGAATATTAAAGGATGATGGTATTTTCTATCTTTGGTTAAAGATCAACACATAAATCTCCAAACATCTTAATATGACCTCTTTGTTTTGCAGAATGCTTACAAATAGAGACATCTATGACATAGCAGCCCTTTGCTCAGAGAATGAGAGGTTTGTACATTATCCTTCTCGAGTGCTTGATCTTATTCCTGTACGAACAACAAGTGATGTTCTCAACTTGTGTCAGGTTATTTTTTAAGGCGTGTGGATTTGGAGGTGACATTCTGGGCTCTACTACCATGATGTACACGAGAACTGCTTCATTAACAACCAAGGAAGATGAACAGACAATTACACGTGCAGGTCGAAAGCTTTTGTTGGTTCCACCTCTTATTGAGGGGCCGTACGAATCTTCAAAGGACAATAATATAAAGAGTCAAGCTTCACTGCATGAACAGCAAGCAAAAACAAGATTGTTCTGATCAATTAGAAGAGGTTCAACGTTACCCTTTTTTTCTTCATTATTAGCAGATGTAAAATCAACTAAGGAGGGAAAATGTATAGCTGCCAAGATTTTTTCCCCATGCTTTCAATGTAAATGTGAGAAATATTGTGGCTTCTGGTAGAACACTTATTTTGTGCAGAGCACATCCATATATAAATAACAGAGGAAACCCTTAAATTGGTTCTTTAAAGATTAGGGTGTAGTCCTCTAAATGTTTTTAGCTTCTCAAAATTCTAAAAAGTAACTACATTCGTATACGAAGGACTAAAGTGATGACACAAAAGAATAAATTTGATAATTGTTTAATATTTTTAATTTAGTGATAAGAATCTTTTGAAAGGATTAATATGATGATATGTTAATCTCTGAAGGAGTTACATAAAATAGTATTATATTCAACAATGGCCTAGTTTCCTGAACGCTACAATTAATCCCCCTTGAGTGTACGTAAACATAAACAGGTTCCTGTCCTTTAACAGGGAAAAAAAGTTGGCATAAGGGTACCTCCAAATCACGCTTAGGTATAAGAATTTTCTGGTATCAAAGTAAAGTAGCCTTTGAAATACAGCAAAACATTTTCACTTAATCAGTTTTCCTACGCAACCCTAATCTATAGAAGCTTACAGGAGAAAACATCCCTTTAACATCTCGTTTTTTTCTTCCTTACGCCCTCTATGGGGATTGTATGGGTGGAGGTCTGTTTGATATCTGCTCATGGACTTCAGCATTCAACCTCACTTTGGAAGCGTCAATGGTTTGCTGTTGTGTGGATTGATATTAACAGCAAATATTGCACCAAAGTTGATGATTCTGGGAATGCAAATCCTGTTTGGAGAACCAAGTTTGCCATTCCTGTTGATGAATCAGCGCCAAACATCCAAGATTTGGCTCTGAACGTTGAAGTTTACAGTATAGACAGCATATTCTTCAGGGAAAAGCTTCATGGCTCAGCAACGATTCTTCTTAATGAGTTTCTTGTCAAGCAGGTAAAGAATTCTGAGGTGTCAAATGCAAAACAAGAGGAGGTTGGGAGCTACCAATTACGAAAGAAGAAATCCAGCAAGCCAAGAGGTTTCATTGATATTTTAATTCGTATTTATGAGGAAAAGAAAGAGCCAAATTTCCATACAGGTATATGATTATTTCACAACTTAAAGACAAAAGCAAATTTGCCTTTCAGCTTCACTGTAGCTGCTCTACTGCATTTATTTCAATGTACTTATAATGAGTTCCATAATTTGAGAGGAAGTTGTCAAGTTTGATCTAAGTTTACCTCTTTTTTGAAAAATTAACGTGATCTGAAGCCATAAGTTTGTACTGTAGGTTGTAAGGAAGAAATAGTGCTCTTAGATTGTGGTGATAATACCCAATTCACCACCGAGGAAGGATTAAGGCAAGCCTACACGCAGAAGCTGCCACAAGCTTCAATCCATCAGCCAGAAAATCATGTACAAACAAACGTCCCAGATTCCCATTCAGTGCCATTCACTTCTACTAACTATTCTGACCCATATGTGGGTGAACCAAGCTACCATGCGGCAACCAGACCAAGCTATCAACCACCTAGAACTAGAACTCCACCATCACCACCACCACCCTCAAATGTTGGCTATATTCCCACTTTTATCCCAAGAAATGATGGCTTGCCACCAAGCTACACATACATGCGTAACATGCCACCATCCAGGGCAGTTTCTGCTCAGAGGGTATCTCCCGGTGTCGCAATGGGGATAGGTGCTGGGGCATTAGCAGCTGGTGCTGTTATATTTGGTGATGACTTCATGTCAGGATTTGATGTTCCTCCAGGCCTAGGAGATGCTAATCTTAACATAGAAATTGATCCTCCTTTCTGAACAAGCATCAATCAACTTGAGTAATTACATTTGGCTGCACACAGCCTATCAGCAAACCAGTTGTGGCCATTGTATAAGGGTTCCACATTCTTAAGATTAATTGTGCTAAAGAAAATGCTGAGTTTCATTTATAGGTCCGAAAGATCAAGTTATTTTATTATTTTTCTTTGAAATTGGCAATATTTTCTTTAATAGCTTCATGCTAATATTTTTGACCCAAAAGAAGAAGGTAGCTTAAAATCAAAATCATTGATCAGAAACTGCATGAGATTTCGTCCCTTAGATATGTATTATTGTATTATATATATATATATATATATATATATAAACACTGCAATTCAATAAATTGAATGACTGGACCATGAACTGCATTCCCAGCAGTTATACACATCACATCCCAAAATCAAATAATTTGAAGATTGCTTGTTAAACAGTAAGTGTTGTTACATCCGAGACATCCATGCTAGGCCCAATGGTCAATGGTATAAATCGAGTTACAGATTATTCAGGCAGGTAAACATGCAGAGGATTTCTTCAAGCACTGTAGCAGGCTAGCAGCAATAAACTATAATATAAAATTATTTGTAATTGCTTATCATCATTTTTTTACTTCCAAATTTTTCATTACCTGCTAGACAGGGTATGCATCAATACACCTTTAATGAATCTACATCCATCTGATAAAATTGCATTAGTGTCTGCCTAATATTATATGGATCTTCTATGAAGTAAAATGGGAAGCTTGAATTGTAGAAATTTCACATTGCGGATATTAGATATTGTTCGTTGGAATCTCCTACTAATCTCCTTAGGAAGTTTTCAACAATTGAAATAAACTCCTCCACTTTTTCTTCATGGGGCAGATGACCACATTGCTTAATGACTTCAAGCGATGCTCCTGGTATGACTCGTGAAAGTCTCTCAGCATTCCATGAAGGGACTAATCGGTCACTATCACCAGTTACAATCAAAACTGCTCATTCAAACAACTATCAGCAATTATGCTCAATATTCAACTCAGATTAGATTGCTACTGGAAAGAGATACATGAATCAACACGGATTCAGGAACAAGAACCAGCAAAATTCCAAGGAATTGAACAAGTACTTACATAAATGAATCTATAAATCAAAACTATGTGCCAATTGATTGGTCAAGTTCATAGAAAATCTCTAGTAATATTGATTGGCACTTAGCAGCTATATTCTGTCAATTGAACATCTTGATCCAGATTTGATTTTAACACAGAAGTATCTAGTGGGTTGAACAGTGTACAAATAAGGTATGAGCCTCTTGTCATCTTGGTTAATCTCTAGCGAAAGCATAAACCAGTTATTAATATTTTTCTTGATACAGAGGGCGAACTGGAGCGGAGGTAAAACTGTTTCTTTGTGACTGAAAGGTCACGTGTTCGAATCTGGAAAAGAGCCTCTTTGCAATTATTTGTAAGGGTAAGGCTCCGTATAAGGATTGCCATCACCCCACACTCGCTAATCGGATTTAATTGGAGAGTGGTTTTAATATTTTTCTTGATCAGTTATTCAAAGACAAAGCCAAAAAGGTCGAGGACAAAAAAAAAGCAAATAAAAGTGCATGTACATAGGATAAGTGACATCACCAGGACACGATATTTCATGAAGTCTTTCGGAAAGTGATGGCTTTGTTTGAGATTCCTCATCTAGAAACATTGCAGCAGTGTATTCCACTAGTGCCCTATCCCAATCCTTAGTCCTCAATGGCTGCATTCAGTGGTAACATAAGGTGAGCACTGACTATTTGAGTACGAGGGAAATAAAAAAAATAAAATACTGACAAAATAAGAAAATAGGAAATTGCAGTGAGATTACCTTTGTATAACCACCAAGGACATGCTCAGAGACCTGCTTTGGGTCATACCATGCATTTCGAACTGCAGCAGTACCAAACTTATCAATTGCCATTCTTACCTGAGATGCATGTAAAGAATGAAGCCATCAATCTAGCGATCATGACAAATTATTTATAGTGTCAGTTTGAGAATTACAGTCTAACTAAAATAGAAGCCAAAATACGCAAGAGTCATCCAACAAGAAACAATCTAATCAGGTTTTCCTCGTGTAGCTCACTATATGTACTTCAACTTAAGCATTTCAAGCTATGAAATACAAAAATTGGTGAAAAGGAATTATATGGAATACCAACTCATTGGAAAGGTTTTCATGAGTTCAATGTTACTGTGTTTGATGTTTGAGCCAACAATTCCTTGTTTCTCTTGGATTATTATATTTTCCAATAATAATTGAATCAAAACGAAGATTGGTATTGCATTAGCCATGAACAAGTTTATTACCAGCATTATAGCAAGGGAAGAACGCAGGATAGCTGATAAGAATTTCCTATACAAAGAGTTGAGCATATTCGTCATCTGCTTCATCATCTGTGTTATTGCCTCTGCAATGTACTTGGTAATCTTGGACAACATCTTGTAAAGCCCAAAAATTGGATTTTTTCCGATAGAACTGTTGTCTTCTTTCATTTGGTTATCTTGTCTTGATTGATTTTCTTTAACAACTCTGGGTCCAGTAAGTGGGGCAAAAATTGCTGGAGCAATGAGGATCAGAGCAGCAACACGATTGGGAGCTTCAAAATATGTATTAACTGCTACAAGTGAACCAGCTGAGTGCCTGGCATGTCATTTTGGGGACATCTCAGCTTCTAAAAAAAGGAACTATGGTGCAGGGTATATGAGAATATACTTCTTTCCATTGTTAATGATCCATTACCAGTTATATAGCAATATAATCTGGCTTCAATGGACGGTTAAGATGAAAAAAAGGAACAAAACACCATTAGAAATATGTTATTTTTATTTACCAACATGGGGCATTCATGTTACTAATGTCTGATTAGTCTGATTCCGTATGCCAAGACTACTACTTCAGAATGGTGAAAAAAAAAAAAAAAAACCTGATCGATTTAACACTTATGATTTGAAAAATGATAATCATATTAATAAAGTGACACATAAATGTAACAACTAGGATAATCAGATAAATACATATCCATATGCAGGGATGCAACTTACAATCGCCTGTTAAGCTATCATCATATAACTACAGGGGGAAGCATGCTCTACTTAGGCTGATGAAAATCGCCTGATATCTAACAAAAATAAAGCCACTTAGCAAAACAGAAGATAGAATATTCACATACCCCACTAAAATTGCCTTCTCAGCATTTAACAAATCCATGAAGTGCAAGGTAGCAAGCACTGCAAATGCCATTGAGTATACATTTAGAGGTTTTGTGTCTCTTGTTCCTGAAGAAAGATGCCTAGATAAATTCATCCTTGATGTCAAACCAAAGGCTGGCCTATCAAAAGCAAGAACTTTTGAACCAGTCACCTCTGCCAAAGGCTTCATAACTTGTTTCCATGAGAAAACCGAGGCTCCAAATCCATGTAACAGAATCACAGGAAACCCTAGCTTCTTGATTTGGTGAGAAACAGTTTCACTCTGGAACATGCTTTGTGCCTGGGATTCAGCATCATATATCTTGTGGTGTATATGAACTCCTTTGTACTCACAAAAACAGCTGTCTAGATCAGCTAAAAGCTTTGGATCCACCAACTCATCCTGGTCTATGCCAGCTATCATCTTCTTTTTCTTCTTTGCTCCCACATCCAACAACTGCTCTGGAAACATGGGGTTCAACATAAAACACTCAAATAAGTAACCTAGCAATAATGCTGAATTTTCCATAATAAAAATAACCCCAATGACAAGTTTTCATTTTTTCTTTTCTTTTCTCCTAGTATGTTCTAGAAACCAACATAAATTCACAGAAAATAAGAGAACTTTGGTCACTGATCATTGACAAGTTATGTGAGGTTTTTTACTTCTTCTTTCCCATACTTCATCGGTTCTTCCCATCAAATAAAAGCAACAACAAATAAATGGAACTAGTTTGACAAAGACAAATAAAGAAAAAGATAGGGACCCAAAATTACCAGAATATTCAGCACCTGAACCGCTAACTGATGGAGCTGAAGAAGCAGAGGCAACAAGACTATTCTTATGAGTAGCACAGTTTAGATAGTTATTGCGGCGATGGGATAAATAAGGACTAGGAATGTTCACCAAACCCAATTCCCCACAAAACACCCTCATTCTCATCATCTGCTACGGCACTTCACCCAAATCGCTTCTCTTTAAAACCAGCTTAAGCTCAATGCTTCATTGCCTCCTCCTAAACGGATAGAATAGAATACAATTACCGTGGCCAGTAATAAATAACTAAAGAATAATGCCACGTATACTAGCTCAACAACCAATCATGTTTTTCTTTTGATGATTTTTTTTATTATCCTAGTTCAAAAACAAACTAGGAATAATAAAAAAAGTATTTTTAACCTTGTGTAATGAGATAAACTTCGTCAGACTCTCCTACGACATCGTTTTATGTTCATTTTTGTGATTGTGCGTGAATTACTATAATGGTGTCGGGCAAAGTGAGAGAATCAGAAGAGTTTATTGTCTTTAGATTGTAGGATTAGATGTGAAATCAATCAAAAGAATAGAAATGGAAGCTCTGTTGTGCAGAAAACTGGGTGATCCAACGGTGTGTGTGGAAGACGATTCTAGCCCAATATTTGTGTCAAAGAATCACCCAATTCCTGAACTGGATTCTCCCACTGCGGTGAGAGTGAGGATTAAAGCCACAAGCTTGAATTTTGCAAATTACTTGCAGATACTGGGCAAGTACCAAGAGAAAGCCCCTTTGCCATTTATCCCTGGATCCGATTATTCTGGAATCGTTGATGCCGTTGGCCCTAAAGTTTCCAACTTTCGAATTGGGGACCCCGTTTGTTCCTTCGCCCCTCTTGGCTCTTTTGCTCAGTTCATCGTTGTTGACCAGTCCCAATTGTGAGATTCCGCTCCTGCTGCATTTTACTGTTAGTCTGTTACATTGCTAGATAAATATAATATAAAATAGAGAAATAATTATCAGATAATTATCTCGGAGACAAAGGAGAGAGGTCCACATTTTTTTTTTACAACTAGTGACCCACTATCTTGTTTATGTTACATGAGATAATTATTTCATGCAACATAAGATTAATAGATCCCTATAAAATAATGCCATCACTTAACCTCGGTTGAATTGATTGCTCTACGAGATATCAGAACCTGTAATCAAGTGGTCACAAGTTTAATCTTCATTACCCCATTCTATTAAAAATAGTAATTAAATATTGTGTATACTTAAACAGTTTGAGCTATTGGGTTGAATTAGTTGCTTTTTTTTTTTTAAGATATTTGTTCATGTTTGATTCGGGGATGGTTGAATGGTTGCTTTTACATACATTTTAGATATTCTTATTTTTTAAGTATGTAAAGTTGTTGGCTTTGAAGGTTTCGAGTGCCAGAAGGTTGTGATCTTGTTGCTGCTGGAGCACTTGCTGTGGCATTTGGCACTTCTCATGTAGCACTTGTCCATAGAGCTCAATTAACCTCTGGTCAGGTATCTATGGTTTACTTTACTTGTTGTTGGGTATGTATAGTAATGCATGTTGTTCTGTCTCTTGGTGTGGTTACATGGGTTGTGGCATTCTAGGTGTTGCTGGTTTTGGGTGCAGCAGGAGGTGTGGGCCTTGCAGCTGTGCAAATTGGAAAAGCATGTGGTGCCATTGTCATTGCTGTTGCTAGGTAGTGAATTGTTTATTATATATAGGTTGCTTATGACATATAATGTCATAATCATTGACCGGATTCCTGCATTTTAATAGTTATCCCCACCTACATAGTATCCCTTGGAGTTTTGAGTCTTTCTTGTTTTGCATAATCCGGTGTCAGGGGAGCTGAAAAGGTGCAGCTCTTGAAATCGCTTGGTGTTGATCATGTAGTGGACTTGAGTAATGAAAATGTTACTCAGAGTGTCAATGAGTTTCTTAAAGCTAGAAGGCTTAAAGGGATTGATGTCTTGTATGACCCGGTTGGAGGCAAGCTTACTAAAGAATCTTTGCGGCTTCTGAAATGGGGAGCTAACATTCTGGTAATTGGGTTTGCAAGTGGAGAGATTCCTGTCATCCCTGCCAACATAGCTCTTGTTAAGGTACTTCAGAAATGATGTTTCAGATTATGAATTTACCTTGTGTAACGTTATTTGCTTGATCGCTAAATTACTGGATGCTTGTTGCTTGATATGATCATGATTTATTCACATAGATAATAGATTTTAAATTTAAAATCACATTGTGCGAGAAATAATTTGAAATTAATTGGGAAGGGATATGGAGAGAAGCACACCTGACAATTGGCCATCAACATTGATTCAATCATCTCTTTGTTGTCTCACTTAATATAAAAACTGTAGCTTCTGTCGTTTGGGAAGCCACTAGATATCCTAAGTTGGCTTCCCAAAATAATGTCCTCAATTAAGTGTACCCAGGTCATTGCATAAATACTAGTGTAATTGCACAATTTGTGTATTACTCATGCTGCTGCTTCCTTGAGATTTAATCATTGTTAAATTGCTGGCTAAGGCTTTTAATTAGCCTGCAAATACTTTCATCTGCAATCTTATATCTATTGTCATATAGAAACAAATCTAAATTTGCCTGGGCATTTTCAATGACTGTATATAATTGCATATATCAATCATTTGCATATAATAATGATAAAATTTTTAACTTGCTGTGATGCACAATATTGGGCATCAAGTAAAAGTCTCTCCAAAATTCTGTCTGTGACATCCAAGAATTCTGCAGAAGAGTTTATAGTACGATACTACTTGATGGGTATGGTGTAGATGCATATTATATCTACTAAACATGGAAACTTTTGAATTGTCAAAGAGTAGTTTAACAATATATACAGGGGTTAAGTTTAAAAGCTGCTAGAGTTTGACTGCTTTAACCAACCAACAAAAAACTTACAATTCCATGTATTATTGCAACATGCGAAGCTGTGATTTCGTTTTCTTTTCCTTTTAGACAATGAAGATGAAAAATATCTTGTTAAATTCAATGGTCGCTTTATGCTATGTATTTAAAACAGTATAAAATGTTCACCAAAAAAAAAAAAAAACAGTATAAAACCAGAAGCCAAACAAATAGCCCGTACGATGCTTTGTCTTTCTACCTTAGCACTAAACAACTGATCTAAGGTTCTTTTCCAGAGTTGTGGGGTGTGAAATTTACATCCAAACTATAAATTTAGGATTAGATTGGAATTAGGGTGAGTTTCAGAAAAAACAATAATTTTTATTATTTTAGGTAATGGAAAAAAGATGATATAAGGATCTGAGATTGGGGAATTCTAAGTTATCCGGATGGTTAACAAATCTCATTAATGAATTAAGTCTACAAATATCAAACTGCATTAGATGAAGATAGGAAGAAGACCAAGGCACCTAAGAGACATATCACATGCCTAGACAGATAGGGTTCTCTAAAATACTCTCTATTCTGTATCTGTTTGATAACTAGGCACATCACTTATAGAGTAGTCATCATGAGGCCAAGCTAAATAACCAGCTATTGATAAACAAGATAAAAATTGACAACTTGAATTGAAGAAAAGCCCATAGCACCATGCATAAATATATGACTAAATACTAGATTCTTAGACCCTCATGCAAGCTACTCACCGTTTTAATAAAATCACTAAAACACTCTTATGGCTGAAAATATTACCATTAGCCCGTAAATCAACATTAAACCAAACTAGTGAGATCTTTGGATCTTCAGACTTTTAACTTCTTGCTTTCTGCTGCGCGCATTACATATTCACATCAATCCTGCCAGAGCTGGTATAAATTGTTAATGGAGAAGAATCCGTTTACAAATTTTTTTTACAAATTACACTAAGTATGACCGGTCATACATTCTTGATTGAAGTATGACCAGTCATACTTAGTGTAGTTTGTAAGAGTTTATAAACAAAATGTTTGTAAATATAACCTTCTCCATTGTTAATTATGATTTCTTTTATTTAAAACCATTGTGCCAGAATTGGACAGTGCATGGCCTTTATTGGGGTAGCTATAAAATACATCGGCCGGCTGTTCTTGAAGATTCTCTGAAGGAGCTACTGTCTTGGTTGGCAAGAGGCTTGATTTCCATCCACATTTCTCATTCTTACCGCCTTTCAGAGGTAAGGAATGTAGTTATATACTTTGTTGAATTTATCATTAGATCATAATTAAATAAATTTCGTATATTGGTTGAATTTATCGTTTGTTTATATTTTTATAATGACAAATTGATATTTATAATTATAAATTTTTACCACTTGCCACGTCATGTCTTCTACATCTCTGTGCTTCATAGATGTTCACCGGGGGCCTAGTACTATAATATATGGTGTAAACAATTTCTTATAATTGCAGGCCCACCTCGCATTTTCTGCCATCAAGGATAGGAAAGTTATTGGGAAGGTGATGATTGTTTTTGATGACAAATTTACAAGATCTAAGCTCTAACTCTGCCAAAATTCCGCTACATGGTTGAAGAATTTGTTACAGGGACTAGGAGATGTTACTATTGTAGGTAACAAAATAAAGGAAGCAATAATTGCGCAATTATTATGTAAAATAATAACCCCCTCCCTTTCCTTATCCTCTCCCGGTAACAGCCTCTGCATCGTTATGTAAATCTTTAACTGCTAAAATTGGATTTTATTTCATTTTTTTTTTCTTCAAATTTTAGTACTGCTTTCGTTACATGATAATTTGTGTACAATGTTTCAACTGGTGTCAACCACAGCGAATCCCTGTTGCCCAACCATTTTAGCGTTTGCAAAGATTCAATTGACCTTTTGGAGGAAGGTATCACGAAAAAGTTTCCTTTGAAAATAATTGCCTCATAACACGTGGAAATCATAGTTAAGGTGGGGAAAAGGTTAAACAAACAGGCTAGTATCAACCTCGTTAGTTTTTTACCCATAAACAATGCATGGATGGAAGAGGTATAAAGCTACCTCGTTAATTTCTTGCCAAACCACTGTTTCTGCGGCCATTTCTTTCTCTTCGTTCCATCATCAAAATTTCCAAAACACACTTTTTTGGAGGAGAGACACTAAGAGCCCGTTTGGATGAACTTTTTTTTCTTCAGAAGTTGCTTTTTTTTTTTTAAAAAAAAAAAAGTACTTTTCATTTTTAGTTCGTTTGGATGTCTGCTTTTAAAAAAGCAGAAGTCACAAAAAAAATCAAAAACCTACTTTTTTCTGAAGCTAAAAATTTTAACTTCTAAAAAAAGCAGAAGTCAAAAGTCAAATATTTTTTTTCAAAATCTAAATATTTTTATAAAAATATAAATAGCTTTAACTTTTGTAAAAAGGACTTCTAAAATAAGGAATAGATAAAAGTTACTTTTTTCAAAAGTGCAAACAAATGGACTCTAAGAAGGGCGTTCTACATGGAGGTGATTAGTTTTTGCGGATTTGTGATCAAAATGTCACGTTTTATCAAATTTTTTATCCAAATGCCACGCGAACATTATTTTTTACTAGACTGTCATGTGTCATAATTCGCTAGTGAATTTCGTGGCCAATGATTTCGTGACACATGACCATATTGCAGACCAAATTCGGTACCAGTGGTAGCGAATTATGACACGTCAGCTTTTTCCTGCGAAAGTGTGCCACGTGTGATAAAATCATTGGTGAACATAATATGCTACACAGTGTAGCGAATTAATGTTTGCTTGACACGTGTCATTACTGTTGACTGTGCAGCCTGACATGGCATAATTCGCTACACTGTGTAGCAAATTATTTGCAAGCATATTTCGCTGCACAATGTGCGAATTATGCCACGTGGCATTATAGGAAAATTTACTATTGGCGTGACAGTCTGGTAAATATTTTGGCCAGGCGTGGCAAAATGATCACTGTTCCAGTTTTTGCTCCCATTCACGAAGGCTATCCATAAACGTTGACTTTTTATTTTTTAAATTTTCTATGTTAATGGGCTATGATGCATCGACACTTTAAAAAACCTGGCGTGTCATGTCTGATACGACTCAAAAAAGGGTTCAAAGGATAGGTTGCGTTGCGTTACGTTTTTAATTCCAACTATTAGATTCGTTAGATTACGATTATCATTTTATTGAGATTAATATAATATTTGTAATATTTTATATTTCTTTGCAAATTGATGGATATTATATTATAAGTTTAACTTTATTTTTTTTGTTAAATTATTAAATACTAAATATAATATGCATTATATAAAGGCTTTAATGTTTCTACAGTGAATGTAGATAAGTTATCTACATTCGTTCCAAAAACGACGTCGTTTTGAGTTGAAAAATTTAAAAACTATAATAAAAAAATTATTATAACCCTGAAACAAATTATAATTACAAAAATACCTTGATTTTCGCCTCAAAACGACGTCGTTTTAGGCTCAATGTAGATAAGTTATCTATATTACTTATCTACATTGACGGTAGAAAAAGCAAACCCTTATATAAATTAAAAATATTATTTAATATCAAAACATATCCTAACGTGTCAAAATCTAATATTTTTTAAAATTAACGTATTGAAGTGTCTTATTATGTCTCATATCGATACAACATAGTTAAGGGGTAGTATTGTCATAGTAAATAATTTTTACTATCATGTTGCTTATAACGTGCCTACCAAATACATAATATAAGAGCTTATTAGCTTCTTTATACTATCAGGTGCGTATAACGAAGCCAGAGCTAATATGTATTGTATACGCGAGTGACATACATGTACCATGTAACATGACTGAATACCCCAACAAAATTTCTCAGGGCATGGGATTAGTAATAGATATTCAAAAAGTGATTTATTTATGATGCAGCTGTTGCTATCGGTATTCCTCCTCATTAAATTTTTTTTAAAAAAAAAAATTCCCCCAAAATATACATACATACATACAGCAACATATCTCAAGATACTCCAAACGGGGGTCATCATATTTACACATGATGAAAAGAGTTTATTGCCAGGTGTTGGACACATCATATTTACATGACTTTCAGAAGAGCTTATTGCTTCGAAATGATATTGAGCAACACGAAATAGTTTATCTGGTCCTATTTTCAAATTTTAGGAACCGAACATACTCCTGCTGCAACACCTCTCCCCCATGTACTGGATCAAAGCTGCATCTGTAGAAACTGATACCACAGACAAAAGAGAGCAGAGATTGTGAGCGAAGATGAGGAGATTAATGAGAACTAAGTTCCTTAAGTGATCTTGAAGAGGCTAAAAGGAAGTAATAAAGAAGTCACACACTAAATAGTGTTGTACATTAAAAAAGCAATCCTTTTGAGGCTAACGAAATCAAAACATGCGATCAACTACAGAGCAAGAGGGAGGGGAATATATCAAACAAATTATACAGAAACAATACTTATATAGAAGAAGCTGCTGAACTTTCTCCGCATTTGGAAGTAAATTATATGTGTTTAAGAGTGGGAATCTGCTGACTCCAATTGACAAATCCCCAATAACAGTAAGATGATTATAGATACACATACCTCCCATCCATACCAGCAATTATCACAGTGTTCTGAGATCCAAATGCCACAATGAATTGTGTGTTTTCAGGCAAACGGAACTGTGCAAATGACCATTCTGAGCTAAAATATTTTGGTAAAACCCCTACAATGTTGTCAAGGAAAAATGGTAAGCACGAAAAAAAACGCAATATATACCACAAATATCATGCAAATTTTGATTTTAAAAGTAAGCTTCAGAACCATGAGTTGATTTACAGAACTTGATTCGGCCATGCTTTGCAAGGACCTGAATCAGAAAGAGTCAAAGGGATAATGCTAGGTGGACAGCTCTAATAAAAGCATAGTAAGCACAACTAATGTGCAGAGCCATTGATTTCATGTATATTTGTGCAGAAAAGTGTTGATGTAACCCTGCACAAATCCCAAGGTAAATCTAATGGAGCAGAAGAAATAGACTTTTTCTGTGTCATATATCTACAGTTACCCTTTTCTAAAGAACCAATTCAAATCAAAAAGTTTAAACTATTAGGTAAATGCCACGTTAGTGCGTTTATATTATATTTCTCTAACACCTTTCAAAAAGGGATGAACAATTGGAACAGCCGAACAGGGCCAGCAGGCACACACACACACATCACCCCGTCCTGGGGACTGGGGAGGAGGGTAATCCTTTTTCATGATGTGGTATCACATTTTATACCAAGCAAAAAAAAAAAAAAAAACCACTCTCCTGTGCATAAAAATAAAAAAACGAGAGAATTCAGATAGCTCATTAGAGGTGAATCAAGTGATACCATCAAGGTTTCTAAATCTACACAAAGGCCTATAAATTAACATTTAAAAAAACACACACCCTGTATAAGTATTAAAATGGGTAAACTGGAGAAAATTATCGAATCTCCAAATTATGAGAATTCCAAGTGCTCAGCAATCAGCATTATACTAAAGAAAATATATTTTACCTCTCATGAAAGATAATGATGAATTGGGGTTGGCACCAGTATTTGGAGAAACCAATGGATCTAAAGAAGTTGAAGAATTCTGATGAAACAGTGCAGGTCCTTGAGCAGCGTTTGAATGAGTCAAACTATCCTCCCCAAACACTCTCACTCTCAGGCTGAATACATGAACAGTGCCTTTGTCACTTGATGCTGCCAACCACTGCACATTTGGAGACAAAGCTATGCTGTTGATTTCAGCTCTATCCATCCCTCTTCTTACCTACAAGAAAGGGAAAATGGATGACAGAACATGAAAACATAAGAGGAAATTTGATAAAGATTTTTTGTGGACAACCCATGAATATTGAGGTGTAATAAGCTTCTTTTTAGAAGCAATGTAAAAAAAAATAACTGCAAGACATGCTAAAACGTTATTAACGTAAGGAGACTTCCAAAAGTTGCAAAGGAAATTGTTATATCCTATATGTATTTGAGAATGATCAAGAAGTAGGGGTGTGCAACACAATAAGCAATTCACAATAATGAACGTACAAGATGTTATTAAATTCTAAAGTTGAATAGAGTTTGTTTTGTTTCCCACATTCAATTAATTATAAGAGGAATATGGAAAACTTTTCAATAAAATAAAGAGGGAGTGTTACAAAAAAAAGATTATATTCCAGTAAATCCATCTTAACTATGCAGATGCGAAAATTAAAATCCCCCACCGCCCAAAAAAAAAATACAAAGCATGAAGTTAGACATAATAATGGTTTATCAAAATAATTAAACCCATTGTAGTTACCTACTTCTTGTAAACGAGACCCGTCCATTGTGTTGAAGATTCTAATCAACGTGCCCTTTACACTAGCAGTTGCAAGAAGGAGACCATCCATTGTCAAAGTGAAGCATGCAATTTGAGAATCATGAGCATTGATTAATTTTGTAACGTTCAATCCAAAGTGTTCAACTCGAACCTGTCCTTTGTGACGACCTGGACAAGCCAAAACAAATGTACTTGAATGGTGTGAAACACAGCACAACCCTCTAGGATTCGCCATAGTCTCAATCTGATGAAGAAGCTTCAAACCCATGAAGTTATAAACATATATCTTGTGCTCAAGAACAACTACAATTCGATCACGTCTTAATTTCACTCCACGAACTTCAGACCTAAATGTAAATTCACCAATGCACCTGCTCTGATGATCATCCCAAATCAAAACTTTATTGGGTGGGTAGTGGGAATTAGCTACAGCACCAACAAGTGCTAGAATATTGCAGCGGAACAGCATCTCTACAATTTTAAAACCACCACTTTTTAAATCACGTCTGAAAGTTTCTTTGAAAGGTTCACAATTATAGATACGAAAACCATGACTTGTGCCTGCAGACAAGCAACCATAGTCCTGATTCCATGATATTGAGAGCAAGTCCGTTTCATCATTTTCATTCATATCTGCATTGGGCCGGGAAAAAGAAGAGGTCCCAACTTCCGGGGATTCATAATTTCCAATCCCTGAAGATGGAAATAATCCTTGAGATGTTGAAACAGGCGAGCTCATATGAGATGAGGGGGAACCTGCCAGCATTTATCGCACTTGATAACCACGATTGACCAAGGTATAGAAAGTGAAGTGCTGCAAAGTAATATCTGTTGCAACAGACAAGAAAAATTCATTGTTGTTACTTGAAACAAATTAATCAGAGTCTGTAAAGTTTGCAAGTTGCAACCTGGTAGATGAAAGTAGAAGGAGGGAATTGATTACATACTAATAAATGCAACATTTTTATATTGTTACAATATATTCAAGAATAGCTGCCTGTCTTACTGCTCACTCAAACAGGCAAAAAGCAAATAAATAGTAAGGCAAGATAGTTGGTGTTTGGGAATTTCAAATTTTCTATGTTTGGTATGAGAATTAAATGACATTCAAGACTTGCAGAGTGATAATCTGCAGACATAGGACATGGCCATTATTTAGATAAATATGTCACAAAAACTGAGTTTCTCCTAGACAGCTGAACCAATCCTTGACTTTCAACACAGTTCTTCAACATAATACATTAACTCAAGTAACAAGAACCATATGCCCCTTTCCTAATCCTTCTGCAGCTCAGTCTTTTCCCACCTCATTTTCTTTGTAAAATCATATATATATGTAGTAAGCAACAGCCTGTTTCAGCTGCTTCACCATAACCAAAATTTTAGTATATTACAGTTAAACTCATTGCTTAGGTATTATTCAAATCTTCCATGAACCTATATACCTGACATTTACCTTAGTTGCAAATCGTACTAATTCTACTAGTTTTCTGTTTTCATGCATCAGTTCAGCCACCACCAAAACCCCTAGTATCTATATATCACTTAAACTGACAACCTAGGATTCCAAATTCATTAGACTTGTCTAAGCAACATGTGTTTGATGCCCTTCAAAGTTCAAACGGATTAATCATTTAAGTTAGGGGTGTTCATCAACCGATTCAAACCGAAGTGGCTGAACCGAAAAATCGATAACCGAATTAACTGAAAACTGAAAACCGAAAAAAATCCACATATTTTAATTGGATTGAATCGGCTTTCGGTTTTGTTGGTGAAAACCAATCCAATCCAAACCGATCCAATGTATTATGTATTTATTCAATAACATCTTGGATGTTATTGATAGCAAACTACCTTGTTTTAGTTTTTTATTGTCTATTACTCTATTTTAACTCTTCATGAGTTTTAAGACTCGTTTTAGTTTGAAGACTTGAATTTTTCAGTGAGTGGTTTGTAACTTTGTATGGCTTCATTATGATATAGCTAGTGATTTCTATGGCTGAGATTTTAGGCTTTACGAAAAACCGAAAACCGATCCAATCCAAACCGAATAAAATTGAATTGGATTGGATCGGATTCGGAAAAAAATCCAAACCAAATGGATGATTAAATGATCAAATCGAATGGATGATTAAATGATCAAATCGAATAGATGATTAAATGATCAAACCGAAGGGATTAGATCAGATTTTTTTTGCTTCAAAACCGATCCAATCCAGACCGCGAACACCCTAATTTAAGTGATATATAGAGAGCAATTTGAAGGTGATTTATCCAGTGTAGCAGTCAACATGCCCATATAACGTTTTAATGTAAAGCAACCTTACCATGGGAAAAAATAAAATAAAAATCAAGCTTTCAATCATTTTACATAAGTTGATAACAGGTTTATCTTTTATCATTTTTTTTTTATGGTTAGTGTAAACCAAAATTATGTGTTTAAGCTATACTTATTTCAACCCAACAAAGATACTCTTTAGAAGTGCATACCAACAAAATGCACCATATTTACATCTTATGATATCTACAAGGAAGGGTAAAAATGGGATTGAGGCAAGAGGGTACCGGAGGAAGCAATCACGCAGAGCAACACTGACCCACAAAGAGAAAATTCTCACTCTTTCCAGCAACGATTTCTCACTTCATCATGCCTGCATATATCCCATAATCAGAAATTTCAAAACAGAAAAACAGGGAACCCAAACAGGAACTAATGAGAACAAAATCAAAATTAGCGAATTATGAAGCGGAAAGGTTCATTTTCTTTGGGAATATCGAATTGAAAACCGATGAAAAATGAAATTCCCAGTAATGGGTGTCCAAGAATATGCGCACCATAAGATCATCGAAGCAATAATAATAATAATAATAATCTTAATAAAAATAAATTGCATAAAGATGTTACGGACAGCGAAGAAATCGGGATCAGAATGCTAAGCGTGAAACAGACGCTTCTCTTCCAAATTCCTATCTCTGTTTCTTTGTTCATTAACTGGCTTTCTTTCTTTCTTTCTTTTCTACGTTATTTATTTATCAAAGAAATTCAGGGCTCCAAACGCATGTCTAGTTATTTTTATTAACATGTAGTCTATATAATATATAAGCATGTATGAGAAATATATAAAGAAGCTACGTTATAATGGTTGATTTATTTTTAATTCAACCATAACAAAAAAAATTGGTTGAGGAAGTATAAGCTTCTTTTATAAAAAGTTATAAAAATTTTAATTATCATAAAAAGGAAATGGTAGAATAATATCTTTAAATAATTTTTTATTGAAGTTTTTTATTTTAAATTTTTCCATCAATTCATTGATTAATCAATTAATTTGATTGAAAAGGATAAGACCACAAAGACTACAAAATTTTATACCCAAGAATCGAATTTGAGCTCAGTGGTTAAATTGGGATAACCTCATACTAATTAATACAAGTAGTTAATGATTTTATAATAGTTTCTTTGATCCCAAAGTTGGGAGGAAAAGAGGATGGCATGATAAGGGAAAAGAATTTAATTGATGTCAAATACTAAAATGTGAAAGATTATTTAGCCACGTTTAAAATGTAATTAATTTTCAAAAATAAGCTAGGGCCAAGGCACCCCTCCATCTATTATGGCTTCGTTATTGGGTAAGATCAATTTATACCGATATAAAATAATAAGTCTTACATCAAATTTTAAGTGTTAATTTATATAATTTGGTTACATAAGTACAAAATCATTTTTCCGGAAGGGACGGAGAAAAAAAAATTCTCCCAAAGACAAATTCAAACGATACGGACGAGAATTACACTCTTTGATATATATATATATATATATATTTGTCTTTTTTGTATTAATTAATGTAATTTATAATTAAAACTAAAAAATATCATACATTTTTAACACTAACTTCAATCGTCTATATTAAAAAGGAATTAAAGCCTACTACTTTCTCATTTCCTGAATACCTAATCAACTCAAGACATTAAATGAATTTTCTCATTTTTCTTTTAAACATGATCAAGGACTGTTGTTCTTGTGTGATTGCAAGGTTGCGGAATTATTTCTGAACCCACTTCTTTATAAAAATATAAGGATAACTGCATATAATTAACCCTCATTTTAATTGTCAGAAAGTCGCATAAGTAGCCTGATTAATTGACTTGCAAGACGCATTGCCATATTGCATCGACACCCGAGTCATTAACATGCATCGATCCGGGTATGAATTATTCAAATTCATTTCATTTTAATCTCCTTATTAAAAATATATAAAAAATGAATTATGATATAATCAAATTGAAATTAAAGATTAAATCACGAGTGAAATACATTTTTGAAAATCAAAATACTGTTATAAAATTGATAAAAAGATAAGAGAAAGTAAGGGAGAAAAGACAAAGAAGTAAGCTAGAATATTGATTCTCGAGTCATGTCTTTATATATATATATATATATATATATATATATATATATATATATAGGGAAAAGTGTGTATAATTTTGAAGGATGTAAAGTTGTGTCATTTTAAGAGAGAGAAAGAGATAGATAAAGGAGGAGAGAGAGTTGACAAAAAAAATAAAGTTGTGGGTCCCACTTTTTTGTGAGAGTGAAAGAATGTAAGTTGTGTAATTTAAAAGTATAGACACTTTTCCCATATATATATATATATGAGACTATACGTCAATAAAAGAGTAATTACATTTCAATACATTATTAGTGTAGTGGTTACGAAATATATCAAAAGTTATGGGAAAGCCAAGAGTCATTCACATATTTTACAACACTCCCTTTGAATGACTTTACACTATGAATATGTCTCATTAAAACCTTGCTAAAAAAATCATGTGAGATAAAACTTAAATAAGGAAAAAGAGTACAATGTTAATAATTAACATACAAGCTTTTATTATACGCTAACTTAGACTACTTCATTAAAAACTTTTTCAAGAAAAATTCAATGGGATAAAAAACTTGGTAAAAGAAAAAAGAGTGCATATAATTCCCCCTCTATTAAGTCATATAGCTAGCTACTGCTAGAGCTAAGAAAGTGGAGTAACAATTACTATTTTTCATAATGTCCATTTATAACATTTTCATATGGGCATCATTGCACTAATATTCACGCCTCGTTACAATCTTGACAGAAAACCCAATAGGAAAAACTAGTGAAGAAAAAGAGTACATGACATACGCTATCAAAGCATTACATAAACTGCCTCATTAAAAACCTTTAGCATAGAAAAATTATTTGGGAAAAAAAACTTAACAAAGGAAAAACTCCTTCATAAAGTACAAAAAAAAGTACCCACATGCCTTTCTTTTCTTTAGACCAATGAGCACTCTTTTTTTCTACTATGCACGCTTCTTCCTGCTTGATTATTGTACTCCTCTATTTTTAGAAACTTCTTTTTAGAGTTTTCCTGCAAAAGGGTCAAAGGAGATATTAGTGGAACAGGTGTACAAATAAGTCAAATTGTCCCCCCTTTTTCCTTGCTTTATCAGCTGATGATATTCTCATTTGTTCCCTTTTGGCATTTTTGTTCCCAGGATTTGGAAACATCTTTTAATAGCAAAAATTGAATGCCAGGTAGCGGAACAGATGGATTTTTATCAATAAAATGAGCTCAGATGGAAATGGATTTCCGTCCCATCTAGAGGTGTTAATGACCATGTAGATAAATTGTAAAGAAGGTAACTAAAGGAACAAGTAATATATAGAATGTACTTAACCTGACATGCAAGTAATTATTATAAATTGATGTAGAATTGTAAAAAGTTTAGTTATATTCTTATACGAGATTAATTATGAATTAATATGATTAGCTTTCGTATTTATTTGATTAATTAGTTGCGCTTAATACCATTCTGATGTTAACAAACCGGTCTGAAATGGGGTGTTACAATGCATATCTAATTTGTGATTATTAGACATATATTCAGCCTCAAAATATTCCACAAATGTAAAATTTCTATATCATGGATAGATCCTTGAAGATGACCAAAATATGATTAACGTCATTTTAATGTCTTTAGGGGAAACACTATGTCTAGCTAGAATTTTTACTGCAAATACAATATCATGCTTGTTGCAATTTGCAGAGTATAATAGTGTTCTTATGACATTTAAGATTAGGAGCTTCAGGTCCTAATACTTTCTTGTCATTTTCTTTTGGTCTAAATGAATCTGCATTCACTTCTAGTGAATGGACCATCATTGAGTCACTTATATAGTAAATTGGTGAAATAAAATAACCATTATTGGAAGATGCTCGATCTGCAGGCTGAGACAATAATATGTTTGAGACCACCATATAGTGATCTTTGCAGCTCGATGCTAAACATGTTGCGAATTTCATTCTTTCCATATAAGGTATGGTGAATCCTTCAAGGATTTTCATATAAATATCATTGTCAAGTGATCCTGCAGTTACAATGTCCGTTAAATGCATTTAAGGTGCATCCTAGTTGCCACATTGATCAAGTAACAGAACATAATAGAATTCATTCATTACGGGAGAATAATCATCACAATTGATGTAGGGTCTCTACGAAAACCCTTGTTCTTTTTTAATTGTCTCCTATCATTTATTTTTAACTGAATGCTTTTGGCATTTTTATAGTTTTGGGTGTTTGATCCAGATTATATCTTGAGACAATAAGAGTTATTGAGAAGGCAAAGGTATCATAGACGATAGTTATAATATTAATCATATTTTCTCCCTTATCAATATAGTTTATTGCATATGCTAATGTCAACCAAATCTTCATCGTTTCCCATGACATTCAGATTTGGCTGTTTCGTATTCTCGGGATTGTTGCAATTAGCAGCTGCATTTATTTCACCGGGTTCACTTTCTTCAAGATTAACCTCTTCAGTAGGCACGATGAGTGACTTATTTTCATTTTCTGCATATTTATGTCTTTAGTCTCATTCTCGCTTCTAGCATTGACTAAATTCAAACAAATTTTATCATATTAAATTTTCCACTACAGGTGGCTCATTTTTTTGCATATGAGATTTAGTCACTCCTTTGTGATCAGAAATATTTTGCATTTATCTTGCTAAAGTTTGCAAGTTAATGATGTTCTGAACTTCAAGTTTATCTATACTTGTACATGGAACATAATATTAATAATTCATTTGGTTTTTCATTCAAAATAATTTATTGGGATTCATCAAGCTTCTGGCTTTCTCCCTCTAATGCCCGTAAATGTCACTCGTTAAATATTTAATAAGAGAACAATTCACCCATCAGGGGCTCCAAGTACCTGATTCTATATTTAGTCTCAAAAACTCATGTCAATGTTAAGCCTTCAGATGACATAAGGACATATATAAAGCAAAAAAAAATGCGCAGATGGGAAACATCAAGTTCACATCCATGTACAAGTTTAGGAGAGGAGTATGCTTAAAAGCATATGAGCTAGTGAACTTCAGGTTCATAATTATTATATTCACATGATGTCCTTCAGGGACAATTAGCCGCAAAATAATATTTTTAACTGTTTGCAATGTTCTGCAAATTAATTATTGTTTGAACTTCTAGTTCATAATCATTTGAGCATATAACTTGATGGATAACTGATTCATTTAAATAAATAATTAGCTCTTCCAGAGTTATTGCAAATATTGTTGCAGACATGCCCACGACCACATTCATGATTATGAAATTATATTGCATTCACTTCAAGGAATGACACAAAAATTTATCGACGTTCTACAGGATCTAATGAACTTTTTGCCATATTTGGGTTTTAAGATCATCATAAAAATGATGAAGAAATATTATTTCAATTGCATGAGTTTATCTTATATCTTGATTGCTTCTCAAGGTAATATAATACAAGCTCTTCTGGAGCCTTCATTCAAGTTAATAGAACTTATCTTAGTCATGTGACATCCAATATGGCATGGTTTGAGGAAGAACGACATGGAAGCTAGTGGGTATGTGACATCCTGAGCGCTGACGATAGCATTATAGTATAATTATCATTTATCAATTAGTTAACTATTAGTTATCAGTTAGTTAACTGTTATCTGTTAACTCTTTAGTTAGTT